TCTCAGCTAACTATTAAAAACCTGGACGTTCTGCGGTTCTGCTCAGAGCACGGTGGTCTCAGTCTGCAGGATGGACGGAGCTCGACAGTTCCTGGGAAACCGCGCTGAGTTTTCCACGCCGTTTCGTCCGACCGACGCCGACCGCAGCCTGAGGTCGCAGCCGACGCAGTGTTTGAGGGACAGACTCCTCCACGTCCTCCTCAGCTCACACTGGACCTGGTTGAAGCACAGAGTCAGGTCACACGGCCCGGGGCCAGAGAGAACTCTGGGAAACACGCAGCAGGTGGAGACTCACCTCGGTGTTGAGGAAACAGTACAGAACGGCCACCATCAAACCCTGGAAGACAAACCAGAACACCGTGAGTTTCTGGGAAGATTAACTTTTCAAACACGGTCTGAGGAGATCCAGCTGTGAGAGGAGCGGTCCCTGAAAAGACCCCGAACCTCACATTTGTACAGTTGGGCCTCAGTACAGAAGTCCATAGAGAAAAACACTGATTTTAGACCGAGGTGTTAGACCATCCAACCGGTCGCTGCAGCAACATGTGAAATGCGTTTGATCGCAGCAGCAGCAGCCACCGTTGGAGACGGATGGGTCGGGTGGTACCTGGAACGACCCCAGGCCCAGATCAAAGAAGATCTTGATCTGCTTCATGGTCTGATCTGCTGGTTCCATCAAGTAAACGAAGACCATGTAGTTGACGCCAAACAGAGGGATGAGCAGCAGGGTGGACTTGGCCAGACGCCTGCGTCACACACAGGAAGCACACCGCAGGTCAGAAACCGGTATGTCCACTGGAAAAGGTCAGAGGTCAAGAGCTGTCGGTCATACTTGTACAGTGACTTCTCATTTCCTCCCACGTCAGTGCAGCGAAGCTTCTGCACCAGAATTCGAATGATGCTGATGAACAGAATGAAGTTGATCTGCAGACGGAGACAGGAAGTGAGTGACAGAGTCAGTCAGTCAGACAGTCAGTCAGACGGTCAGTCAGTCAGTCAGTCAGACGGTCAGTCAGTCAGACAGTCAGTCAGACAGTCAGTCAGACAGTCAGTCAGACGGTCAGTCAGTCAGACAGTCAGTCAGACAGTCAGTCTAAATGATGACGTCACATTCTTTTATTGAACTCACGATGACAGAGGCCATGATTGGCCAGTTGAGGAGCCTGTTAGGGATCGGGTTTTCGTTCATCTCCCAGCACCTGCGAACACACACACACACAGGGTTTGTTAGCGCCACTTGCAGCCACCAGATGTCGACAGAGAGCAGGTTAAAACAGGAGCAGACTCACCACGTGTCCTCCAGGTTTATCCTACAGATGATCCAGGCCACCATGAAGACAAGTGGGATTCCTGAGAACCGGGAAGAGACGGAGGGGGAA